CTCTCTCCTCTACACTATTTCACATTAAACTGAAAATTTTTGCAGTGGTTTTGGGGAGGCTTGTAGCATTTCCCCCTCTACTCATCCCCTGTGCGTCTCAGGAGGCTGATGCCTTGCCACCCCATCTGTCACCCAAACACTAAGTTCCAGAAAATAACATGGGAAATTTTGTGGTACAAAGACAATTTACTGATTCGTTTTCCATTTGAGATCATTGACTTTTTCCCCAAATTGTCTGTACACAGTCCCACTGAAATGCACTTGTCTCTAGGGGAAAGGAAGTGGAAGGGTTCACAACTGCTTAACAGGTATCCATGCACCATTAATTGGTACCAGGGAAAAGTCCATGCCAGCAAGAGGGTTTGGGTGGGGTTTTTTGTGGTTGTCTACATACAAGGGACTGCTCTCCATCTCTTATAACTTTTAAGAAGTTATAAAAAGAGACAGGTCTGGGATTTGAATCTGCAGCTGTAGAAAATTTATGCATTTTGTGTCATAGAATTGTTTGGGTTGGAAGGGACCTTAAAGATCATCTAATTCCAACCCCGCTGCCATGGGCACCTGTATGGACTGTGGGGTGTTTATGATGGAGATGAGCAGCTCCAGACCACCTCTACTATAAGTGCATTTTAAGGAAACAGCAGAGAAGCATTGCAGCACAAACACAGGCAATTAGAGAAATGCTTGTTGCCAGTTGTTGTCCCCATGATCCCTGCAAATCTCTGATAAAACAAACAGGAATTGTAAGGAATTGACCATGAAGAACATTTGACCAAGTACTATAGCATACACATCTTGAGCCCTGTTAAGAAACACAGCAGCCTCCTGGGTGTAGTGAGGGAGAATCATCTGTATCACACCAGCGTTTCTTGCAGCAATGAGATAAAATTAATCTCAGAGCCACTCACGTGGTTTACAATTCATTGTTTTCACTGAATGTGTTGCAGTAGGTAATGGTCGGTGTCCTATTGCACTTCAGGCTTGCTAAGCTTGTTATTAAGGCATTACCATTAATTTTCCATGTGAGGTTCGATTTCTGTGATTTTTTCAGTGGTATTCCTGAACATACAGGGCCTGATTTCCTTCTATGCTGCTGAGTTGGAATACAGGGGACTTGCAGGTAGACAGCAGCATGACTGAAACTATAGTCCACAAGCTTATTTTATTAGGATTCCATTAAGAATTTTGCAGTTTGATGGGTAACTTTGATGTTTGGGGAGCTTTATGTGACACTTAAAATGTATTGTTGCTTATTCAAATATGGTAGAAGTGAATAGGCAGGGATAGAAGCTCAAGGATCCTTGGTCCATGTCTATCTCCCACATTACTGCATCCATAGTGGAGCTGCCGGTTGATCCCACCTATCTGAAACCAGGCTCACCATTTAGCTGCTCAAGGTGAAAGGCTGTGCAGACTAAATCCCTGTGAAACTTGTCCTTATGGGTATAATATTGTGTGGAACATGCTTCCTGCTTTCAGTGGGGCAGCTTTTCTAGGAGGCTTTGCAGCTTGCAGGGTATTTTTTGTTGTGGCTCTTAACGCTATGCCCCAGGCTCCACTAAATAGACAACCTCATTAAAAGAGAAATAGCGATAGTAAAGCAGTGACTTTCTCATGCCACCTAACTCACATATTTGACATGATTGCTGGACCCTCCAAGTACTTAATTGATTGACTTAATTGATTTAGTGGCACTGGAGGCTACAGCATGGAAATAAAGGGGCAAGATGAGGATAAGGGGTGAAAAAATTTATGATAGGTGCCAAGCAGCCTGAGGGAAATTAGAAATGCTACAGATCTCAGAGGCAGCTAAATCAATTCAGTGTGATGTACAGGGAGCAACCTGGGGGAAGAGGAGAAACGGGCGATAGAATGGAGACAAGGAGAGAAAATAATGGCCAGTGGGAGAGACCACAGCAAACTTAAGGGGAAGAGGCAAGACAGCAGCCTTGGTGGTGGTGGGTATTTTGGCCTTTTTAATTTTGACACCAGACAAAAACTTTCTAGTGTTTGAATGAAATATCATAATGATGTCATGTTTAGCCTAAAAAGAAGGACTTGTGCATCACAAGATTGTCTGGTTACCCAGTTTGAGACTTTATCTGTGCTTCCTTTTAAAATCTCTGTTTCCAACAATAACTAAAGTCACAGGAGACCTAAAATAATTTTAACAACTGAAACTTAAATGTTAAATTACTTTCTAATCTCTGCAAAATGTAATTGACTGTATTGAACCATAATACAAATTAAGTCTTCTCTATAATTTGTTCTGTCGTACTGCAGCACTCCAAAACAATTTGATACCTCACTTAAGAATTGGTAAATGGTTCGTAGCAGCTCTCATCACAGATACAGTAAAAACACCCAATAGTGTGTGATGGAATCCATCAGCATTGGCATATAGGGATGTCAAGTCATGAAATAATTCATTTATGTGCTTATGACCACTAGAGACAGGATTTAGTCATGGTAAAGACTTAAAAATATTAAATACGTTAAAAAAAAGAGGACAGGGAGAAAGAGGGGCAGATCAGCTTGTGAGCATTGACCAGCCATTCTGCTATAAGCAATTTGTGTGGCTTTTGTCTAATTTCCTTTCATATCAAGTATCGAGGGGGTGGCTACATGTGAGCAATTACAATCTGAGGGATAAACATAACATTCCTTTTGGTTGACCTTATTTAATGGGACAGATTAATCTATGCAAATGCATCAGACACACATCTGATCCAAACACGCAAAGAGTATTTATAGGTAGCCTCAAGTGTCTGTCTCTCTTGGGTGACTGGATGAGATGGTGTTTCTCCTCATGCTGTCCCTTCTGCTGTCCTTTGCTCTAGCACACATTTCACTGCTCTGCAGGGTCTTGGGCAGGCTGAGTCCTTAAATAAATATTTACAGAAGGGGTGCAGTTCTGATCTTGCATTTTACAGTGGTGAATATCTCCTGACTGCAACAGGAGTCCTATTTCTGCTTTGCAAGAGCAAAAAATCAGGAACTTGTTAAATAATAGAGTATTGTAATATATATAAAGGACACATTAGGTGAATGAAGGACAGTGAAAAAACGTGTACAAAGAAGTGTTTACATCTACATTTGAATACAGATGTGTGCGTGCAGCATTGCCTTCCATGTGTATGTTCCAACTCAGTATCCCTCAAACAAATGAAAAACTCTTCCTAGACATTCCACCCAGTAAAATACCTAAAAGGATAATGTTGCAGTCACCTTTACTTAATTTGTACTTCTGTTGATGCAGGATGTAAAATATCATAACCATTAAAAGTGTAATACTGAGTGAGGATTCCCAAATAAATTGGAGGGTCTCCATCTGCTGTCTTACATTGTGGGTGATACTCTTCCATGGTACAGTGGTCTTCAAATTTAATTCCACAAGGAAGGCATCTGATCACAGTTTAATTTCAGTGCAAAATGCTGCCTGGCAATCAATAAAGCAATGTCAAAGGACTTTGATTTAATAGGAGCCAGAGATAACGTTCCCTGTCATATGCAGAATAGAGAGATGGGAACATTTCATTTCATTGTAACAGATAGCATGTAACTTGGTTTTCAAAAAAGCTCTAATAAATCAATATCCCTGTATTATCTAAGTAAGATCCCGTCATTAATTTTAAACGCTTAACACGCTGGGAGAGCCTGAAGTGCACCTTCAGCTCAGCCACGTTCTGCCTGAAGTCAATGGCAACACTTCCACTCTCCTACGAGCAAGCAATCTTGATCTTGGGACATTAAGAGCCATTTACTGTGAAATGAAAATGAAACATGTCCAGTCTTTTGTTTTATATGGAGTCATCCATCTCTTGCAGGCTGCCTCTCCTTTCAGATTTCACTCCCTGTCCTACAGAAGTCCCATCGCTTGTCACTTGCCCTGCACACGCTTAGCCTTTTCTCTTGCATGCACAGACATCCTTTCTGCTTTTGAATTTTAAAATGTTTGTTTTTTTCAAAACTCTAAAAATAACTGGTTGTTTAGAGATTGCCTGGATACCATGCTGGTTTTCAAAATGTGCTTTTCTCAAAACCAGCAGGAATCTGGACCTCAAAAGAATTCTTTGTGAGGCTTTGCCTGCTCTCAGAAATAGCATTATCTCTAGAGGATATAAGAGCAGGTCAATATATCAGAAGGTAGAAATTGAAACTAATAGATTGTTTTAGATAAACTTTTCAAGGACATCATTCTAAGTAGAAATACTTCTCTATTACTTTGATAGTAGAATACTATTTAGGCCAAATTGAGAAAGATTCTGGCACTACAAGAGATGTTTATAGATGTCTCAGATTTGTGTCCTGACTCTGGGGAGAGTTTTACTTATACATTTAAAACAAAATTGAGACTTTTTATTATTACAGTTCACCAAAGTGGGATTTTAAGTAAAATGTGAACTTTTGCATTAGCATTGATTTGCAGTTGAATAATTGCATTTTTATTAATTTTCTGGGGAGAATAATTGTTTGCAGTTCTATTACTGCTTGAAATGAAATCTCTCTCACTGGCTGATGTTTAGTGCTGCAGAGATAAAGCAGGTCTGGTACCAATTCTTAGAGGAACTGGAGATCTCAGCTGTGGCTCTGCAGCTCCTGCAAAGCAGCCTGGCCTCAGAGTCATCCTGTATGAAGCTACAGCTGCAGCCCCTGCTTATATATGCCCACAAATACTGATTCTGTGACTTGGATGCTGTGTAGGTAATAACTAGGTGACACATTTTTTATTTAACTATATCTCACTAAAAGACACCAAGAAAAATCCTCAATGGAAGCTCTAAGTCGACTTTCTAAAGCAAGTCAAACTGGTCTAGGTTTTCAGAAAAGAACAGGCTTAAAGAGTTCAGATATTAATTGATTTTGATACCAGGATGTATTTGCTTGTTTGAATGCCATAGGTGAATTAAGATCCAGGTAAAGCACTGATGAAAGAAAAATTATACTGTTTTTTAATCCAACATTTTGATGTAATTCTCTACTGTTTTGTTTTTTAATAGCTACTACAGCATCACCATGCAGTTCATGAAATTTCGTACATCGCAAAGGATATCACAGACCACCGAGCGTTTGGATATGTATGTGGAAAGGAGGGAAATCATAGATTTGTGGCAATAAAAACAGCCCAGGCAGTAAGTATCAAATCACTGTCATTTTCTACCATGTAACTCAACTAAAAAGCTGTTCAAAACAAGCTGTTCAAGAGGCCAATTTTGAGTTGTTTCTGATTCTGCTACACTAGTCATGAGTGTCTGCTTAGGTGTTCTTAAATAGCAAGGTAGTGAATCCAGCTTGGGCAAAAGGGAATGTATTTCACTATTTCCAATTTTTTATGATCATTTGTTATTGTTTTCCTTTCTGGCCAAGCTAGACTGGATGCCAATAAGTTTGGTTATGTTCCTGTACTCATTGAAACCTACATTGTGTATAGTCTACTGTAATTCCGTTGGATGTGAAACCACTAATAATTTTGCCTTTATATTCATACATATGCCTTTTATATTCATAATGCTCTTTATATTCATAACTATAATTATGATTAATTTTCAAGTATAGTTAGTTCAATAGAAATTAACCCAAGCCTGGATGCTAAGATAGAAATTAATTCTATATGAAGTTTATATGAGATACTGTAACTTCTCTGTCAGTAGGGTGGGATAAGAGGTGTATGTTTTCACATACAGGAATTTTCCTTCCTGTTTTTGCTTCCATAGGCTGAACCAGTAATCCTGGACTTGAGAGACCTGTTTCAGCTCATCTATGAACTGAAACAAAGGGAAGAAATGGAAAAAAAGGCACAAAAGGACAAACAGTGTGAACAAGCGGTATACCAGGTACACGAATAAGCTTAGACTACTGCCAAGAAAAGCTTGGTTTGAAGTATCCCCCAAGTTGCTCCAAAGAGGCACTGAGCATCCTCAGCTCTTCTTAACAGCAATGGGTTTGAACGGTGCTGGCTTCAAACGGACCAGTGTGAACCCAACAGCCATCGTGAGCTCAGACGTAGGATTAAAGTGATGAAAGCTGTCACTTGGGGTGTGATGAACCTGTTTAGCAACTGGAAATGATCTGCTCATTTCCTGCCTAGTGTTTCTTCTAATTCAGAAGGAAAACTTTAATGAAGGTCAGTGTTGTAAGTCAGGTTTTAACAGTGTCTGATACTTTAGGGAAGATTAAATACATTTCTGAATGTGTGTATTTGAATCAAGCAAATGAGGTGCAGATTGTTAAACTCGGATGAAACTTGAATAAAGTTACTTTGTGCACTAATGTGACTTTATCTGTATCCTAAAGAAACAAAACTATATACTTACCTGCCAGTTTTGCTTATTTCTTTGCTGTCCTTTAATTTCTGAGTACAGTTCTTTTATCTCTGCTGTTTATGTTCTTTGCTTTTACTGTCTGTCCTCTTACTTTGCTGTAGACAATTTTGGAAGAAGATGTAGAAGATCCTGTATACCAGGTAATTTCTGAAGCTGTATGGCCTTGGAGTTTCAGAAATGACTAGATGTATGTTATCCTCAAACGCAGCCAAAACCTTTAACAAGATGTTTTGAAACTTACCAAGATAGGTTTTGTGAGAAACCTTTAAGGTTTTTACAGAAAGTAGCATATTTAGAGATTAAGCTGTAAGTGATAGCAGAGTATGTCTGTATAGAATAGAATAGAATATGTTCAGTTGGATTAATATGTCGAAAATATTACTTAAAATGTGGTTTGTACATCCAGATTTTAAGTTTCCAAATAAGATTTGTCATCATATTTTAATACAAACTCTAACTGGAAAGGGAGCTACTTTGAGAATTAGGGAAGATGACAACTCATTATGATAGTAATAAGTTGACATTTTGTTTTTGTCTTCTGTGGAGCCAGAATTTAATTTAGAGGGCGAATATTTGGAAAAAAACAACAGCGATGTTGATGTTGTAACACATTCCCTTGTTGGTATTTGGGTTACAATTTAATAACAGATCTGAAATTTAAGTCTTGTTTCATCCAAGCAAAATGTCTGGGAGCAAAGATGATTATCAGAAATAGGTCAATATATTCATGTCCGATACCCTACTGAGTGTGAAGAAGAAAAAGATGTAATTTAATTCTTGTGGGTTTGTGCTGAAACAAAATATGTGATAGTTGACTTTTTTTTTTCCTGGGGATTTTGTGTTCCTCCACTTAGGCATATCAGTGGGAGGCACGTGAAAGGAACCAATTCAACCATTAGTGAATATTGAACAGTGCCTAAGGTGCATCAAGAAAGATGATAAGACTGAGGATGCCCTAAATTACTATTCAGCTTTTATAATGTCAGGAGTTTGACTCTGTATTCTTCACAATAAAGCCAAGAACCTGAAAATTAAAAATGTTGTGACAGCCTTTTGCCACGTGCCCCGTTCCATGTGCACCAGCCTGTTCTCCCAGCTTGGATTTAGCATTTTTATTCATGGATAATAAATACATGTGGAAATAATTGCCATTATGTAAAAAAGGCAAAATTCATGTTGACTTCAGAAAATTAATACTGGGCCACAGGCGGTCTCCCTAGTGAGAAAGAATTAGGAAGTTGCTCTAATGATCATTAGAGGAGATTTAGGGCTATTTATTGCCGGTTTATGAAATATGAAACAGCCTTACCTGGTGCTTTCCGACAAACCGCTTGTCCTGCTGCCAGCCTGTACTTTGAACTTGTTTCTTTAATGCCTGCCTTTGTTTTGACGTGGAATTCCAAATCGCCTTTTTCCCTTCTGTTTCATCTTTGACTTTTCCTCTCTGGCGGCTGGTGTAATAGTACATTGTGTTTGAGGCTGGACACGAGCCGATCCGTGAGCCTGAAACGGAAGAAAACATTTATCAGGTATAAAATCTCTACCTTCGGTGTTTCCATTGCAGCGATTGCAAGCATTTAATAAAGCACATTTCATATATAGTTCACTTTTAGTTTTCATTCATCACAAAAATGTCTTGGTATTTCATTTTGGTGACTTGACGTGAATTATCTGCCTGGTCTCAATGTGATTTTTCTGTTGTTTGTCATTTCAACTTCTACAAATTGTATTAACTTTGTCAGCTTATGAAGGGTCTTAAACTTTTGAATACACCATATGAGGTGATAAATAGTGGATTCTTTTTTTCTGTTAATTTTTTTGAATTTTTTACACCTATTCTGAGAAGCATAAATATCATGGAGGCCAGACCATCCAAGCAATTCCTAGAAATTTTGATGGTACTGCTCTTCTTTGTGGCTAACCAAGGAAATAACTGAGCAAAACCTCAGAGCTCTCAAGGGATATCCCCCAGACCAGGGAAACTATTTTCAGAGTGCATATGTTATGTTAGAGCCCAAGCTCACATTCTTCACCCTGACAAAAAATTGCATTGAAAGTAATATAAAATAATCTTTTGTCATTCAGTTTATCCTCAAGGGATCAGTACAAGGTTTATTAAAATGTAATGTAATTCATTTTGTATCACATACTAGAGGCAAATCTGAAGATAGACAGAAATCTTTGTATGCTGTAAGAAAACTGATTCAAGGAAATCATTTAGTGGGGAGGGGAAGGAGTTTCAAGCAGTGATTAAGAATTTCATCTAGCTGTGCTAGAGGTTGATCTGCTAATAGGAAAAGATTTTAAGGTACATAGGAGCAAGGATAGAACAATAAAAAAAAAAAGGCAAAAGTATTAGGTAATGAGAAAATATAGGAAGATAATAGAAAAAATGATACAGTAGTGTAGCTGTAAGCCAAAACAGAAGCTAAGTGTGAAAGGAAAATGCAGGTTAAACATTAGAAAATAACCATCATAGGGTCATTAATATGAAATTCATTTGATCTATCTCTGCTGATCTCCTGGCACCCCCACAGCCCACACTGCAATATGCATCTTTTTGCATCTCTAGACCAAGGCAATCAAAGCTCTCAAGGTGAGAGTCTGCCTAAGGCTGAACATTTTCAGTATTGAAAGTTTGACTATTTTCAGCACATGTTAAAAAATTACTTCTATAGTTGTCAGGTTTATGCTGCAAACAAAAATCCCGTGAGAACTACATTCAGGCAAAAAAATGCTGATTGTTGTTCATCAAAGTACGGAGCTTTTAGTGACACTTCCGAGAAGTACTGGTGGAAGGAAGCAAAATGGGACTGATGTTTGTAAATCTTAGAGCAAATTTTGGTAGGAAAACAAGTTGGAACTGTGTTCTGAGGAATGGCCCAATGAACAGGAGGACTTTATGGAGGAAATTCTGAAGGAATTTCTTTTCCTTAAAATGGAAATAGAAGATGATAAGCAGGTAGTGAGGTCTTGCCTCATCTCCAGGTACTGCTGTTATTGTCCTGTAAGTCACCAGAGAATTGCTGAAGGCTTTGTATGGCAGTTTCTGGATGTAATAAAGTGTTTCTTCCCACAGTGGTGCACAGAAAATACCTGTGATCAATATGCCATACTCTGGCTATACACAGTCTAGCACTGTCCTCTGTGTTTACTACAGGCAGTACCTTGAGTACAGCAAATGCTGAAATTAGGGAGCCAGGGGTCTTTTTGTGGTGTCAGCTGTAATTGATGGATGCTGAGATATTGCTGTCTCAGACTGGCCCATAGCCATGAGCTTCCCACAGGCTTCATGAGCTCTTGGCTGCTGTAAATCTGGATTTCCACAGTTCAGATTTTACACTCAGATCACTGACAAAATTGTTTCTCAGAATCATCCAGGCTACTATTAAAAATCAAATTAGAAGAAGTCCTCTTTTTATTTTTTCTTTTTTTTTTTTTTTTCCCTCTGTGTGTGTATATGTTTTCATTTGTTTGCTTGGCATTGTGGGGTTTTTTTAGTTTGATGCAAAGCTGTGGCAGCTTCTATTATTTACTACAAAGCTTTCCCCACAATACATGTGTAACTGCTCAATAACCTCATGCAGCCTTGCTTCAGCCTCACCAAATCTTTCTGCTGGTTTTGCTCTGGCGTTTCATTTGCTGGCGTGCACTTCTCCCTTGGTGGAAAAGATTCCCTGTGGGAAATTGCCAATGAAAGATCCGTGCTGAAAGTGACAATTTCTATTTCTCTTTAGCATAATAGAGGTCACAATTTTCTTTTTAAGCATTCTTCCTCTGTCTGTCACCTTTCTTTGATACATTACCCAGAAGACTCTCTGTGTCTGCCCTTTTAATGGTGTCTATGTAAGTTGCTGTAATGTGTTAGTTAGGCAAGGACTCAATCACTGAGCACATACCAATCCTCTCATCTAGTGTCAGATTGCTTATAGCATCTCTCCTCTTGCCTGGTGTTCTGTTGAGGTGGAGATGGGATTCTGGGAGGTGGTTTGGAGTTGTCTTTGCAGCAGCACTGGTCTCTATGGGGAGGCAAGTTCTGCTCCATGAGGAGTTGACAGTCCGAGATGGGGGTTTCTGAATTGTGGTGCTTGTATTGCTGGTGAGATGCAAATACATCCAAATGTTTCACAGCCTGTCACAGACAGATCTGACAGCAGCAGCAGTGCTGGTACCTCTTTGCTGGTGTTGTTAATCAAAGGAAAAACAGAAATCCTTTGTGGACCCCCTGTGTGAGTAGCGATGCAAAAAGCGTGATGATACATGGGAAGTAAAAACAGCAGGAAGACAGGTGGTATCAAGTTGGGAGAGAAGAATGTCTTTCAAAAAAGTGTCTTTGTCTTCATATTAGGAGTCAGCTTTTCTCTATATATAAGCTGGAGTAAAAAAGGGGGATTGATAGTGCAGGGAAATGTTCTTTCCACAATCATCTGCAGGCAGATGTGCAAATTGAGGTGACTTCATAGAAAAATTGGAAGGAGGAAAAGGAGAATGGCTAAAAGGAAAACTTTCCAAATAGAAAAAATTTGCATCCTGATGAAAGTTTAGAAACATTTTATCTTTCTGTACTTGTCCTTTTTTTGTGAAGACTCAGCTTTCTACTAACTTCCTAAATAGACTCTTCCTGATTCCTGCTCTCACACTGTCACTTACAGGTCTCTCTCTTAACAGACTATTACTGACATGAAATTGAATTGCTCCACTGTTACCAGGTCCACATATCTAATTTGATAGATGGTCTTAGTGGAAGTGGCCAGTGCTTTGAGAAAACCAAGGCAAGCAAATCATTCTCAGAATAGGAATAGAAGAGATCTTTTGAAAAGGTTTCAGTTTCTGTGAGGGTTCGGTGCTCATGCTCTTGAAAAACTTCTTCAATGTGCACTGAATTAATGAATTCTTCCTGTGAAGATTGTGATGTTTAAACATGGGCAAGAGAACTGTAGAGACAACAGCAGAGAGAGGTTTTAATGTATAATACAGAATATTACACAGAATAATTGTTCAGAATAAGAAAAGATAGCACATCTCAATGAATAAGTATCATTCCTTCAGCTTCCCCTAAAGCAGTCTGAGTGAAATATCAGAACCTTAAGATATTTTCTGTCTTAGAAAAAAAAAGGTAATAATTCTATATTTGCAATATTATCTCTTAGCGACCTGTGAGGTTTCACTGACGTCTGAAACGTAACTTTTATATGCTGTATGCCCTGTTCAGTGGAAAAGCAGCCTGATTTCCTTAGAGTATTTGTGCCAGTTTAGAAAATGTTTTTACTATTCTTTTTGCTTTTGTCATTTACAATAGACACTCAGTGCTTCTAGGAAGGAAAAGAGACACAGTCACAAATTATAAATATGGGAACCAGTGGTCCTTGGGCAAGCACAGCCCTGTATAACAAAGCAACTGAATTTACATGAGCAGATTACAAATGCCCAAGGTGTAAATCATGACTGTTGGATTAGCTAAAAGCTCATCCAGAGTTTTTTAAGTGTGTTGTCCTTTATCCATGTCTCCTGTCATACTTCAAGAGGCCATTAATTCTGTATTAAAACTGCAGCATTATAACCAAATATCTCATAGAGCAGCCACAGGACCCCATCACTCCAGGGGTACATGTTACCACTTTTCTTGACTTAGATTATTAAATTAATTGGAGGAAGAAATCTAAAATCATAAGTGAAACATCTCTAACCCTCAGATCAGTAACTCTGCTCTGTGTCTCTGGACAATGATATACTCACTTGATCATAACTTCCATCATATAACTTTGCATCTCTAACTCTCAATTCAAATGGAAAAAACAGCCATTTCAGTAGGAGGCAGATCCAGGTACACCTGGAATTCATGCAACCAAAATTATCTGATAATGGAAATCTCTTTTCTGAACAGTGTTGAGCTATAGGACAGATAGATGTTGCTTTATTTCTTCAGTATTTTCTCCATTACTGGTGCTACTTGGATGAGAAGGAACCATCCTTGATTTCATTAGTATTAAATTACTACCCTGTATATAAATACCAGTTGCTGATTTCAGGCTTTCATCCAACTTCCTTGGATATTGACCTCGGTTTTCCTTTGCTTTTGCAGGTTCCTACCAGCCAAAAGAAGGAAGGTGTTTATGATGTGCCAAAAAGTCAACCTGTAAGTGTAAGTATCTTCCCTGTTTATATACAGTAAAGAAAGTGTATTTCTTAGCCTCTGTGACTTTTATTATTGTCTGTAACATTTGATACATTCCTTGTGATGTGACTTTTATCAGTGCTGTGTTATGGGTTGGTTGGGTTGGTGCAGAGTAACCAGGATTGTAATGTCACTTATATCCATCTCATTCACTGCTTGAATCTCCTTTCTGTCTTCTCCAACTCATTCTTTGAAAGCCACCATGTGTAAATGTGTTATTTGTGGTTAAGAGTCGACAGTGAGCCTTTTACAAGTTATTGCATGATTTGCTGCTTGGGCTAGAAGGGTTCCTATATTACCCAAAAATGTACAAGTCTTGCTCTGAGCAAGGATGAGCTATTTAATATAAATTTGGGCTATAAAGACCTAAAGAAATTGTTCAACTGCTTTGGTTCCACAGAAAATTAGTATTTCTGAGGATCTGTGTGATAGTAGGGAAAAACAGAGGAAAAGGTCAGGAATTTCAGTCTACTGTAAGTGTGGGAAAGAACCCTGTATTCAGTAGAGAGAGATTCCTTTCACATGAGGCTGTGGTAAGTTGCACATCTTGGGCTGAGCATGGAGACCAAGATGTGAAACAAAAAATATAAATGCTGGGGAGGGGCTGGATGGGGGCCTGGATTTTGACACCTCTGGGCTTTGCATAAACAAATAAACCTTACCATAAATATTTCATGATAAGCCACCAGAAGCAGGGAGGCATCGTTATATTGCTTGGGAAAATCTAGTAAAATCACACACATTGCATAACTAATTAAGGTATTTGTGGGCACAAAAGAGATGTTGATTTTTCACTTGCTTTTCATATAGCTTTTCATGGAGTTCAGTGTTACAATTTTTCTGCTGTACATTCTCTGTGACTTTTTTATTATTCCTTCAGTGATGCTTCAGATTTACTCAGGGTATAGTCTGTAATTTAGGTCGTTGCAGTAGGACTGGGTGTCTAGGACACTTGTAATCATGTCTGCAGACACCTGGTACTAGGTTGTCCTGGTAAATAGCATGACTGAGATACAGAGCACATGGAACCTACTCTGTAATCATCCAATACATTTAATCTGTCATCTCCATGAAGCTGGTTGCAGCTTATTTTATTTTATTTTTTCTATTTCATGGTTAAATTTAAAGGGATTAAAGCTTTTCCTCTAAACAACTTATGTACTTTAATTTATGAAGAAAAAGAGAAGAGGAAGAAAGAAGTAGTAGCTGAGATTCTGTTTCACCTTTTTATATTAGTATGTACTAAAAGAAAAAAAAAGAAGAGCAATAGCTCTTAAAATTAGCAATTTAATATTCCACTGCCCATCTGATTTATTGCTCACCCTTCCATGTGTGAGACTCTCTGTCATTGAGACACTTGCCATAATTTTTTTTCTCAATTTATAGCTGTCATTATTATATAAACCTCTAAAATTCAGTCTGAGGGCAAATAATCTAGCTCATCTACCTGGTTTAAACATATAAGGACACTTTCTTTATTAGGAGGTCTTGCTTTCAGTAATTTCATAATGGATGAATGAAGTGAGAAACCTTTTGTAGCTCCTGATAGGTTTCAGGCACCATGAATCCTCTCTCCTGACAATAAATTCAATGCTTAATAACAATGCAGCAAGTTTTGGTTGAGTTCAAACTGAATTGCCCATGTTCCCTGGACAGAGATCAATTTTCCATTTTAGGATTGTTTTCCTCTGGTATGTTCCCAGGCAAGTTACCTCTAGTCTGTGCACTGAAAAGTGAGGGATGCTGAAGTAGTCATTTAGGTGCCTTCCAACCTTGACTCTCTGTAGGCCATGAAGGCAATTAGGCACTTCACAGGCAAGGTTGGACAGGGCTTGGAACAATCTGGTCTAGTGGAAGGTGTCCCTGCCCAATGCAGGGAGTTGTAACAGGATGATCTTTAAGGTGCCTTCCAACCCAAAACATTCTGTGATTCTCTATGAAATTCCTTCCGTCTGCATGACATGTCCCTCTCAGGTGGAAGTAAATGCTTGTCTAGACTTCATTCTTCATTGACTACATATGAATTTGAAATTACTTGCAGGTACGATAACTTCTAAAAGTTAGGCTTAGGTGGGGTGAGATTCATCACAGTGTAAAGACTGAAAGCCAGAATCCCCATTTCAGAGTCTGCTTTCAAGCTGGGAAGTGTAATTCACACTGATTTTCAGTAAGATACGTCTTCCTAAGAACCTTGGGCAAATATTTCTCCATGCATAGGGGATCCCGTTGAGGCTGAAGGGGTAGAGCATCTTCCTGGTAGTGCCACGAAGCAGAAGTGTTCAACATTGTGCATGCACTGAGATAGCTGATGTACCTATAAAATGCTGTGCCGTTGTGTGAGGCCATTTGTCAGCAGGTGCCAAAGTACTCTGTGGTCTGGCTCCTCATGATCTCTGATATCAAGTAATGTAAATATGGTGCAAATGAGGCGGAAAGGAATGAGTCTCAGATCTCAGGATTTGAACGTACCCACTGAACTCAATTATGAGTGGTGGCTGGTTGCCAAGTCACTTCTCTGACATTGGGATGAAAAGATTGCTTACTCAATATGATTTTTGTATTTCCCCATCTCTTTTCTGCATCCCTTCCCAGCAAATCCTGCTCTTCTGTAGATTTCCTCTGCCAGCTGTGCAGCTCAGCTCCTAACACACACATTTCACAGTATCCAGTTCCCTCCCAGTATCTCTTCCTTCTTCTGTATCAACTCACACTTCTTGTGTTCATTCTTATTTTCTCTCTGCTCCTTCCTTAGACCAGTTCTCCTATTCTCCATTCACTGAGAGTAGACATCAAGCCAGACAAAGAAAGCAAGCTTATCCCAAAAAGCTTGTGTTAAGTAGTGCATGCTCCACTTAGAAATTCTAGTTCTGTGTGTGAAATTAACTGTTCTAAAACATGGAAATGTTTAATGAGCTCTTTTTGTCATGATTTCCCTTCATCTCCCATTAAACATCCACATCAAGTTCTACCTGTCATGGTGTTTTTAGTAAAAAGAGTCAGACTGTAAATACCCTTCACAGAGACTGTCAGTCACGTCACAATAAAACCTTCTCTTCACATCAAAATGTCTAAACTATCTGCTTAACAATTTTATGAAGGCTTTCAAACAATTCATCTTACTGCTGTATAAAGATCCAAGGCACTATAGCTGGTGCCTTACAATGCAGGCACTCATTTGGCTGGTGCCAACTACATGGAGAATATTAAACCAGGGTGGAATGGACAGGGAGGAGCAGATGAAGCTGGACCTGAGCACACTCAGGTTTAGAAGCCATGAGATCTGCCTGATCATTCTGCCCAAATTAGGATGCTGTGTTTGGGAAAGCTCAGTTTTAATTCTGTCTGGGATAAGCTCAGTTTTAGTTCTGGTTGGGATTACAGTGTCATTTACATGTCCGGCTTTTCCTTAAGTTTGCATCAGTGGCTTTGCAGAAAGAACTTGCAGACTGGTGACATTGACTTCAACCTCCACAATCCAGCTTTCAGGACCAGATTCTCAAACATGAGGAGAGAGTGCACAGATCCAGTTGCTGACCATCTGTGATGAGAATACCATCCAGTTTTATTTATGTTTACTAAAAGAGATGCCTGTGTTCAACTGCCCTGACTCAGTTACACTCAATTAAACCCCATATATAAGGTTTAATATTTCAGTGTGGGACATGCATTTTTGCAGGTACAGCTACTTGTTGCAAAATTTGAAAATATATTAGTTTGTTATGAAAATGTCTTGTGGCATAAGATGATGTTTTGATGGGCCTTTGCTATTTTTTTTTGTTTGAATCATAGAATCATAGAAGGATTTCAGTTGGAAGGAATATTAAAAATCATAATTCCATGATCCCACTGGAACACTGACAGGGGTGTCTTACAGAGATCACAACCATAAGCTTGTAGCTGCTGTACTTCGCAGGATTTTAGTTGCCTGATCAATCTTTCTAATAGCTAAATCGGTCTTTATATTGTTTTGTTTGACTTTCTATCATTTATTCATTTAAAAAACAAACAAACAAACAAACAACCCTTTTTTCTGGGGATATTTTGTGCTTTATTCCTTAACAAAAATTTTACTGGCACAGGAAGCAGAAAACAGGTCCTTCTCTTCAGTCTTCCCAGTTTTAGCATCTATAACATAAAGTGATGAAGTTTCTTCACGTGTGTTAAACACATGGTTTGTGTAGGTCTTAGCACCTGAGCTCAAAATTAGGAATTTTTCAACTGAATCTTGAACATTTGTTCTTGCATTGTCAGATAAAGCAAGTACACTCAGAAAGCTGTTAACCTGAATTCAGAGTCTGATTTCCAACGATCCAGACGGTTAGATGTTTGAATTAATCTGTTGTTAGTGTATAGACTATTTAAGATTAAGAATCTTAATCTGAATAGTTTCTAAGCATTGAAAATGTGCCCGTGGAAACTTCAGGGTTCAGTCCCTCCCTTATTTTATATTTGGTGAGTCAAATAGCAGCTTTTAGCAGTCAGTGTAGGAATGCTGTTTCACAGATGAGAATATAATATCCTAGTTTAATTAATATAATTAAATAGTTTAATATAATGTCCTAGTTCTTTTATGCCGTATTGATGCTGTGGGCCACATCTTGAGCTCTTTTTAATCTGTAGGAGTTGTCCTGCTAGGAGGCTTTCCATTCCTGCATTGGTAATACCATTCACCCAATGTGATCCTAAACCCTGCTCTGCCAGTGGAATGCTATCAAAGCATTGAATTTACTTCCTAGTGCAATCCTCTAGGATTTTGGGACGTAATCACATAGTGTGAGAAAGCTGTAATCCAGCAGAGCTGCCCTTGATCAGTTTTCCAGTGTTCTCTCTCTGTACTGTTCAAACAGCAAGAAACAAGGAGACAAACAAAAGCCTCAGGCTTTGCCCTGATGACACAGTTTTCTTACTGGATATAGGGCACATGAGTGCTGCCATGGGTTTGAGAGTTTGGATTTGTATTTTTAATA